CCCCCCCCCCCTTCCCCGAGCCCGATCTACTCCGGAGGGAGAGACAGAGAGAGAGTAGGTCAGCAAAGAGGAGAAGAGCAACGTCTCCCCTCTCCGTCGCCCAGCCGATTCCCCGGCATTTGCCTTCGGGCCAGCTTGGAGGCAGGGAGAACCTGCTTGGGAACGCTCGGGAGCCGCCGCCGCCGGCGTTGAGAAGCGGGGTGAATGGAGGGGAAGAGCGAGGAGGGTGTGTCACCTGCACCCAAGTAGGCTTCGACTAGGAAGTGTGGGGGGGAGGTTTGTCTAGGAAAAAAAAAAAAGACGCCGATAAATCGATAAATAAAGGCGAGCGCCGGAAGCCTCTCCCCGAAAAAGGCTTGCAAGGCGAGGTAGAGGAAGCGAAGGGGAAAACTCAGGCTCCTCCTCCGTTTAGCATGTAGGTAGTTGTAACGCCGCGGCTGAGGTGGCGCGGAGGAGAAGCTCAGGGGAGCCTCAAGAGCTCGCGTTGCGCCGCCTTCCTCTCCCGGCGAACTCGGCCGGGCTGCCGAGAAGGCAGAGCGGCTGTGTGGGTTGAAGTAGGGGCTTCTTTCGCGCGGGAGAGGAGCTGCCTTCTTCTGACGGGCCGGCTTGAATGAAGTTGGCCTCGCGTCACGCACCGAGCCAAAGGCCCGCCTCCTCCTTATTTTGCAACAACTGACACATTGTAGGCTACGGGGCGTTTGAAGTCGCTGCGAGGGAGGGAGGGAGGGAGGGAGGACCGGGGCAGGGTGTTCGGCCGTGGCGGCGTCCGCGCAAGGACGAGACGGGGCGGAAGGGAAAGCTCTGCAGAAGCCTTTGGGGCTACGCTGCGAGCCGCTTCTCCGCTTTGCAAGCCGAGTGCCGAGATTCAGGAGACGGGCGCGTCCGAGTAGGAGAAGGCCAAAATGCAGAACGGGGGTAGGAGAGGATCGGGCGGGGGTGGCGGGTGTCTCTTTCTCCTTCAAATCGCCATTCCAAGATTCCCTTGAACAGTCTTTGTAACCTGGCGACCTCGAGGGAAGTTTTGAGGGGAGAAGGGGCATTAATCAAACCCCGCGCTGCACGGATACTTCTCTTCTGAATGCCTTTTCTCCCCTGTCTGTAAGCGTAACTTTTGAGCTTGGTTACTAACTTACTCCATCTGCGGAGCCGCTCTTTACTGTCTTGTAGAGCTGAGAAATCAGGTTCCACAATCTTTTGGGGCTGTGATCGTTCACGGTAAAGGCCTCAAAGGGCACGGCTTACTCAGCACTGTTGGAAACGGGGCAATTTACTTCTAGGTAATTATGAACAGAATCGCAGCCTTCGTTACTACATCCATCTTGCGGCTGTCTTTGCATACTTGACAGACTTAAATGAATCCTGCTTTGCTCCAGTTTGATAGATTTCCTTAAGATACAGTGCTAACCAATCAAGCAGATCAGGCTCCCAAATCCTACTGTTGCCTGGTTTCAGGATCATAGTGCATTGCTCAAACATCCTGTTTACCAGAAACTGAAGTTCAGATATAACTTAGTACTGAAGCAGGGTGTGCTTTGCCTGCAGGTCTATTAAACAGTAGGTTTCTCAGATAAGAAAGCATAATATATATACAACACTTAGCTGGGTTCATCGATTGTGCTAAGCCAAAATCCATAAAAGAATATAATGTAGTGCTTGAAATTGGTCAGTGAAGGCTGTAGAGTGAATCCAAGGAAAAAGTGGGATTTGAATCAGTTCTGGTAAAAGTATTTCCTTAGCAAATTCATCTGGGCTAATCTTGAAAAGGCTAAATAGATTTGATGGGAAGCTACCATCCCAAGACTCTAGACCAGGGGTGTCCAACCTTTCACCTTCCCTGGGCCACATTAGAAGAAGAAAATTTGGTTTGGGCCGCACATAAAATAAAATAACAGTAACGATACCTGATCATCCAAAAAAACCATAGAAAACATAGTTAACGGCCAAACTCAAGCCAAAATACGGCCAAATTATTTTTATTATTTATTATTTATTTAAAATTATGTATTTTTTATCACGGTTTTTTTATCACGGTTTATCACGGTTTATTTTCCGGCCAAATTTTGCGGGGGGGAGGGGGGGAAGAAAGCTCGCCTGCCTCGTGCCTACCTCTCCTCCTGCAAATGGCCCGGCTGAATGCGGCAGGACTGGAAGGCAGAAGCAGCAGCGGCGGCGGGGGCAGAAGCGGCGGCGACGGCGGGGGCAGAAGCGGTGGTGGCGGCGGGGGCAGAAGCGGCGGCGGGGGCAGAAGCAGCGGCGGCGGCGGGGGCAGAAGCAGCGGTGGCAGCGGCAACAGCAGGAGGTGGCGCTCTGACGGCGCCCACCTTTTCTGTTGCTGCTTGGTGTGGCGCTCGCCTCACTCCGTCTCGCGCCTGCTTCTCCTCCTCCTCCTCACTGGCTCTTGCACGAAGGTTGGGGTGGGCACTGGGCCGCATTATGAGGCGACCTGGGCCGCATGCGGCCCGTGGGCCGCGGGTTGGACAAGCCTGCTCTAGACTGTGAAATTATGAAAATATTCTTGAAGAAAACAAGATCTGTGAAAATATACATGTCTCTGTTATCAACTTGAATGAGACTTTAGTTCCACTGAAAGCAAAAACTTTTTGTGCATTCTGACAACAGATTTCCATCCCAGAGTTTTTGAAAGAAGCTACTATTATATAAATGTGCATAACATTGCAAATAGATGAAAGCTCATCAAAGTGTGGCATTATTACTGGTGGTCCTCGACTTACAACAGTTCATTTAGTGACCATTCAAAGTTACAACATCACTGAAAAAGTAACTTATGACCATTTTTCACACTTAAGTCTATTTCAGCATCCCCATGGTCACAGATGTTTCACAACTGGTTCATATTTATCATAGTTGCCATGTCCTGGGGTCATGTGGTGCTCCTTTTGTGACCTTCCAACAAGCAAAGTCAATGGGGAAGCCAGATTCACTTAACAACCATGTTACTAATTTAACAACTGCAGTGATTCACTTAACTGTGGCGAGAAAAGTCATAAAATGGGGCCAAAGTCACTTAACAAACTGCTCACTTAGCAACATAACTTCTGTGGTCATAAGTGACTACCTGTACTTCCAAAGTACTTAGATAAGCCTAATTCTCCCTAAGATTAGGCTCTTAATTAGGATGAAGTGTTTTTTACAGTCTTAATGTTACAGTACAGGTAAGCCTCGGCTTATGACCATCCATTCATTCAGCAACCATTCAAAGTTATCACTGTGCTGAATGGAAGGACTTAGACAACCAGAAGTTACAGCTGTTACAGCACCCCTGCAAGTCACATGATCAAAATTCAAGTGTTTGGCAGCCTGCCCATATTTACAATTCCAGGGGTGCTACAGTTCCCCCAACTGCTTGTCTGCCTGCACCTATGATCTTTTGGGCCCCCTTCCACCCTGTGCTCCATGCCTCAGGTCATCTTCACCAGTGCAAGCTAGCCAAAAGAGAAGAAATGGGGGAGAGATGTAGGCAGGGGCAATTGGAAACAATCCTTTACCTTACTGAGGCTCAGGGTTGGATGGCACCAAGAATGCTTGGGATGGGGTGGATCCTTGGCAGAGGTGGTATTCAGCAGATTCTGACAGTTCTGGAGAACCAGTAGCGGAAATTTTGAGTAGTTCGGAGAACCAGCAAATACCACCTCCGACTGGAGATTTTACAGTATCCTTCCCCTGCCACACCCACCCAGCCACGCCCACAGAACCGTTAGTAAAAAAAATTTAATCCCACCACTGGTCCTTGGTCAACAACTAATAAAATTTGCTTGATAATAGCAACAGAAGTTACCAGGATTACAGTCACTAAGCAATGTGGTCATATGATCACTTTATAACTTCATTGCTTAGTGTTCAAAATTGTGATCCCAATTGTGTTTGTCAATTAAGGACTACCTGTAAGGTTTTCTGCTATTATTTCTTGTGTTGAATAACAGAGATTATCAAAGTTAATGATCCAACACATTTGGGGACACCTCATTGGAAAAAGCTGTACTAGCTTGTTTAGAATAACAACCGTAGATGATATTACTATTCACCGAGGTATTAGGTTAGCAGAAAACTTATAGGAGAACAAGTTATGTTCTTTTTCTAAGAAACAGATGCATCTGCAGTTTCTATCTAGTTAATGTGAATTTAAAACTAGACAGAAAATAACTTCCCTAGAACTGTTCCCCTTATGAATTAGGCTGAAGGACATTACTTGAATAAAGCTATGTGTTGATGCAGTGCATTAAATTATCAGAACTCTTGTAATTAATTTAATATATGCTACTGATTAATAAAACAGCCAGGCTTTTAAAAGAAGCGATTGTTTCTAATTATTTCAAAAGTGTGGGTGGTTAATATCATATTAGAACACAAAGTGCAGCTTTTTGCAATGGGAACTTATCTTGCAAAATATATTAAATTGGGGAGGGGGGTGGTTGTTGGATAGAAGATTAGATTTACTTTTGCAAGTTTGTGCAGATTTTAAATGAATATACTGATTCCCACAGAGGTAGGAATGGACCCAACTCTGTTTGCATTTTGCAAACAAGTTAAATTGATTCTGTTCCAACATGCTTTCATTCATTAATTGCTTTGGGCATTTTGATTGTAAGTTTTAAATCTTGTTTGTTTATTCATTCATTCATTCTTCATATGGTGTGTTTTCCCTGTTTTTTTCTTCCCAACATCCAACAGGGCTGAGGTGGGATATAAGATATTCCTAAATAAATAAATACAATAATCCATCTA